GCCTCGGCCTCCCAGAGTGCTAGGATTATAGGTGTGACCCACCATGCCCAGCGTGAAAAAAATTTTTAATCTACTACAGAATTATATGGAAACATAGCTTTGTTTTTCATAAAAATTAAGCTTTATCTGTTTCACTGTTCCTAATAGTCAAAAATCAGAATGAAATCATGCTCTGGAAGTGCATCTGTCACCTGTGGACAGCCAAGAGCCGGTCTGGCTGATCTGAATGTCTCCTTCACTGTTCCACCTTGAGATGCCCAAAGCTCCCAGATTAGTCAGCTTTCCCAGAAAGTAGAGTGCCACTCTGCCATCACAGGTAGCTGTACTTCACTGCTAGAACTTTCAAACACTTCAAAATTCGTAACAGTGCTTAGGAAAAAAATCAAAAAAGCAAAAGGTTTAAAAACGCTGCTCTGAAGCCAGCTGACTATGAGTAGAAATATGTCCAAGGAATTTTACACCAGCTATTAACAGCCTACGGAAAGAGAGGCTTAGAAAAAAATCCTGTTTGTATAACAACCCAAAAAACATACATTACTTTGTTAAATCCTCACATCAACTTTTTACAGAAGTAGGGCAGATTATCTGGGCCCCTAGAAGAATAATTTTCCCAGTTTCCATGCATCACAGGTTCTACTGCAGGGTGACAACCTAGCAACTTTTAATTCCATTTCCCAAACAGCAAATGTTTAGTACAAATGATACCAGTTTACATTTGTTCATTCCTTTACAATTTTCGAAGTGCTTTGCCAAACATGTTATACTATAATGATTTTCACAATCCAGAGATGTAGGAGGAGAAAATATTATTCTTATTTTACCAAGTAAGAATAAAGAAAAGGTAAGTACATTGCAAATTAGGCCAGTCACTTAAGTCCTGTGTGACTCTCACAGATATGCATCATTTTTCTAGCTATAGCCAATCTGTATTCATGTGGCAAAATGAGTTACAATCAACTAGAATATATGGAAAGATACACACACATATACACACACTGACCACCTACTGCATGCCTAGACAGCGCTTAGTACATAAGACATCTAGTAAATATTTGTTGGAGAACTGAATAAATGTGTCGAACTGGAGATAGGGCAGTGAACAAGACCCTTGTGGCCATGTCTTCCTGAAGCCAACATGGACCCTGGTATATGAACACAATCGCTGATCAAAAACTACACGTGTGATGAGTGTTAAGCAGGGGAAATAGAGGATGCTAAGGAAGGCTGGAAACTTAATCTACTTTACTGGTCTGAAAGAATTATTTAAGCTACTTTTAAAAATTAAGAAGAGTCAGCTAGATTAAAAGTAAAAGTGAAGAGACACACATGAACTGGGAGAAAATATCTGTAGACCATATATCTGATAAGGCACTAATATCCAAAATATATAAGGAACTCAAACTTAATAGCAAGAAAACGAATAATTCCATCAAAAAATGGACAAAGGACTTAAACAGACATTTATCAAAAGAACACATACTAATGGCCAACAGATATATGAAAAGATGCTCATGATCACTAATCATCAGGGAAATGCAAATTAAAACCACAACGACTCTAGCCTGGGCAACAGAGTGAGACTCTGTCTCAAAAAAAAAAAACAGGCCGGATGCGGTGGCTCACGCCTGTAATCCTAGCTCTCTGGGTAGATCGCTCAAGGTCAGGAGTTCCAGACCAGCCTGAGCAAGAGCGAGACTCCGTCTCTACTAAAAACAGAAAAATTAGCCGGGCATGGTGGCACATGCCTGTAGTCCCAGCTACTCAGGAGGCTGAGGCAGAAGGATTGCTTGAGCCCAGAAGTGTGAGGTTGCTGTGAGCTAGGCTGACACCATGGCACTCACTCTAGCCCAGGCAAAAGAGTGAGACTCTGTTATCAAAAAAAAAAAAACAACCACAATGAGGTATCACCTCACACCTGTTAGAACGGCTATAATCAAAAAAAACCAAAAGAAAACAAATGTTAGCAAGGGTGCACTGTTGGTGGGAATGTAAATTAATATAGCCATTATGATTCAGCAATCCCACTTCTGGGTATATACCTGAAGGAACTGAAATCAACATGCAGAAGAGATAACTGTATTCCCATGCTCACTGCAGCATTACTCATAATAGGTAAGATATGGAAGCAACCTAGGTGTCCATCATCAGATGAATGGGTAAAGAAAATATGGTAAATATACACAATGGGATACTACTCTGGCTTTAAAAAGAAAGGAATTCTGCCATTTGCAACAACATGGATGAACCTGGAGGACATGATGCTACATGAAATAAGCCAGGCACAGAAAGACAAATACCACATGATATCACTAATATGTGGAATCTAAAAAGGTCAAACTCATAGAAATAGACAGAAGAAAGGCGGTTACCAGGGGCTGAGGGAGAGGGGTGCAACGGGAAAGGGGAGATGTTGATTACACGGTACAGTTTCAGTTAGAAGGAATAAGCTTTAGAGATTTACAGCACAGAATGACTGTGATAAATAACAATGCACTGTGGCCAGGTGTGGTGGCTCACACCTGTAGTCCCAACTACTCCAAAAGATGGCTTGAGCCTGGGAATTTGAGGTTGCAGTGAGCTATGATGACACCACTGCACTCCAACCGGGGCAACAGAGCAAGACTCTGTTTCAAAAAAAAAAAAAAAAATGCATTGTATATTTCAAAACTGTGAATAGTAGATTTTAAATGTTTTCACCACATACACAAAAAAAGTAGGTGAACAGATGAATTTATTAGTTTGATTCAATCATTTCACAATGTAAGCATATGTCAAAACATCACATTGTACCCCATTAAATATATACAATTATTATTTGTCAATTAAAAATAAAATTTAAGAGCTGGGTACAGTGGCACATATCTATAATCCCAGCTACATGGGAGGCTGAGCTGGGAAGATCACTTGAGCCCAGGAGTTCAAGACCAGCCTAGGCAACATGGCAAGACCTTGCCTCAAAGAAAATAAATAAATAAAAATAAAATAAAAATTTAAAAACTGAAGGCACTACAGAGGTAATCCAGGCAGAAGCAGCAGCATGTGTAAAAGGCCTGGAGCAGAAGTGTACATTTCATCCATATGACTGAAGCATGGACAGTGGCAGGCAATGAAGCTAACAAGGTACCCTGGCTAGAATAGGCAGGGCCTTTCAGGCCATGTTAAGGCTCAGAGACCCTTTTAAACTAAGGACAATAGAAAACATTAAACAATTCTTTGCAGGGGAGCAACATAATTAAGATCTTTTTAAGAGAACATTCTGACTGCAGGTAGAGAATGGAATGGAGAGATCAAAAGTGTAGAGGAGACATGTGAAGGGCTATGTTGACAGTCCAGTCAAAAGACATGTAAGCTGGTAATTTAGGCTAAGTCAGTTGCAGTGGAGAAGGAGGGAAATGAATGAATTGAGTATGTAGGAGGTAGAATCAACAAGACTTGTCAACTGGACTTTCAGATTACTAGATGTAGGCGTGAGGGATGGGCAAAACAAAGACAACCAGGTATCTGACCTGAGGACCTGGAGAAGGAACAGTTTGAGGGGAAGGTAAGTTGTCTTAGACATGGTAAGCTGAAGTGTGTGTAAGAAATCCAAGAGATACCTGGTAGGCAGCTAGATACGTTAAGTCCCGGGTGAATGAGAGAGGTCTAGGTAGAGACAAAGATCTGAGAAGAATACTGAATTTAGCGGGGAGGTCGAGAATGATACACACTATGAAGTGTACAAAATAAGGAGGCAAGGTGACATAGGACAGAGCCTTGAAGTACAACATCTTTTCTGGCAAGGAGCAGGCAAAAGAAATTGAGAAGTTATAGCTTCTCACCTCAATCTATGTGGAAATCTGATACCTTAACCATGTAGCTATATAAGAGTGTAATAATTCACCATCCTCTGCAGTTCCTCTTGCAATGCTTAAAAATTATTCTAGTAAATTCAACATCTGGACCAATTCCAGCCAAAGGAGATGAAAAATAACCCCTCACACATGGTACTGACAATCCCATGTCTTCATTCTGTCTTCATACTGGGAACATCAAAGACATTTACATTTTCAGGTAAATTCAAATAGTTGCACAAAATAAGAATAAAAATTTTACCAATATTTGCATACAATAAATAGGCAAATTACCTCTCACAAATTACCTTATGCCTTCACACAATATAAAATAAATGGGAAATTGTTTAATGAGTAAATAGTTGTTTCACTGACTTTCAATTTTGCAAGATGAAAAAGTTCTGATCTGTATCACAATGTGACTATACTTAACACTACAGAAATGTACACTTAAAAACAATTATGTCAGTAAATTTTGTTTTTACAATTTAAAAATAAAAATAGTATAAAATAATTACATTATTAAAATTATTATTAAAGCAATACAATCCCTGCTATGGTTTGAATGTCCCCTCCAAAACTCATGTTGAAATTTACATGCCATTTTAACAATGGTGAGAGGTGGGACCTTTAAGACCTTTAGGATATAAGGGCTCTGCTGGCATGAATGGATTAATGCCATTATCTTGGGAGTGGGCTCCCAATAAGAGGAAAGTCCAGCTCCCTTTCTCTCCCTGTCTCCAAGACTCACTTGCCTTCCATCTTCCACCATGTTATGATGCAGCCAAAGACCCTCATCAGATGCTGTTCTTCAATATTAGACTTCCCAGCCTCCAGAATGTGAGCCAAATAAACTTCTATTGTTTATAAATTACTCAGTCTCAGGTATTCTGTTACAGCAGCAGAAAACGAACTAAGACAATCCCCTACTCCAAGTAAAGTGAAAGGCCTTGCTTAGCCCTGACTTGGAAGAACAAGTCAAAGAGTAACATATACTATGAGTTTCATCACATTTTGAGTGAAAGTACTGTACTTCTGCTCTGAAAAACAAGATATGACCCACAGCATGTTGTAGTCTGTATTTTAAAGTTACAGTAGGCACCAGGGTCGCCTGTGGAGGTGAACTGCCTGGAGACTTCCTGGAGAGCATTCCCTCAACCTCCCAGACTTCCACTAGGTCAGAGCACACTCCCTCACGCCCTAATCGCCCAGAAACTAGAGTACAGCCATATTATCCAAAACCCACCTTGACAATATTCACACGCCTCTCTGTCATACCTACCCAAAGTTAGTTTTGCGGAACAAAACCTACTGCCACACACTGACGCTACTACACTTTTTCTTTCTCTCTGGAGCCCGGGATGAGTAGGGTACCTACCACCTTTGGCTAGGACACCCTACCTTCTATCTGGTCATGTTCTACCTTGTATTACAGCTGATTATCCACATGTCCTTCCTCCCCACGAGACCATCAGGTTTCTTGAGAGGAGGAGATCTGGATCTGAGTCTGGTTCCTCTTGGCAACCGCCATACAGCCTGACAGTGTTTGGTTTCCGTCGGCGCCAGGTCAATGACAAACAATCCTGAAAGAGTCCCCTACTGGCTTTTCACTGCCTCATCCTCTCGCCCCTTCTCACAGGCAACAGTTCTGGGGACAGGGAAGGAACAAAGAAGAATGGAAGAACAAGAAGTCGTCCCAACACAAGAGTGTTTAAAACATTCATAGAACAGGACAGCGAAAGGGAAAAGGCCACTTCAGGGACAAGACGTTAAGGATGAATCAGACAGTCTCGATCGTTGCCGGCTCGCAAACCAGCGAGGGAGGCAGACACTGACACTCAGGATGGCAACGCTCGAGGGGACCTGGGTCGCCCAGGCAAGGAGATGCAGTTCCTACCCGCCCGCCTCCGTCCGGCAGGCGCCACCCCCCGCCGCCCTCGCTAGTTCCCACTCACTCTTGTCCAGAGGCCGGGTCAGCTCGGCCCCGACGTCGCCATCGGCGCTGGGGCCCTGAGGTTTCACAGTCAGGGGCACGAACAAGGACGTGTTCGGAGCTTTGGAGCCACCGGAGGCAGAGGAGGAGGCGGTGGCGACGGCAGGAACGCGCCCCAGAGCCCCAGGAAAGGGCCCAAAGTGGGGACGAAGGGCAGAGCAGACGGCTGCCAGGTGGCCAGCCTGGCGCCCCGTCGGGAGCCGAGCCCACAACAGGGCACACCGGGGGAAGGACATCGAGGCCGCAGGCCCTAAGGGAGCCCGGAGCAGCCCGCGGACACGGCGGCGGACAGTGACGCACACCTCCAGTGCCGGCGGCCCGGAAAGCCCCAGGCCGAGCAGGCGAGCTGCCCAGGAAAACGCCCGATCAGTAAGGAGAAGGTAGCGCCGTAAGACTCCTCTCACAGGGACAGAGAAGCTTCCACGGGAAAACCACTGAAGATAAATTCGTGTTCTCCTTCTCTCTTTCAGCGACTGAGGCTAGCTTTCTCTAAAGAAGGGAAAATAAGCAGGCATCTTTGGGACGTCACTGAGGAGAAGGGGGGGGGCCTGCCAGCCGTGTCACGTGACGCAAATTGGCGTGTTTGGTCAGCACGTGTGCAGAGGCACGTGGGCAGTGAGGCGAGCAGTGCTGGCCGGGCTGCTGGAGCAGCGAGTGCCTGCGCTCAGCGCTTGAGCGTGGCTTGCGGACTCAAACGCTAAGGAGCATGTCCCCAAAGTTCTTGCCTTATGAACCATCGTTTCCTGATAGGGTAACGTTGGAGAACATAGCTTGACCTGCACCTCAGTATGGTTGCTGAGAAATTTTGTTGTACTACTAGATAAACCCCTTGTATGACATGCGTGTAAGCACTTATACTTTAATGTGAGCCGTTCGTTTATATCATCCTAGCAGCTGATATGTCACAACCACATGGCAAAAGTATGTGCTCTGCATTCCTGCTATAGTTTTTTTGTTTTTTTTTTTGAGACAGAGTCTGGCTCTGTTGCCCTGGCTAGAGTGAGTGCCGTGGCGTCAGCCTAGCTCACAGCAACCTCAAACTCCTGGGCTCAAGCGATCCTCCTGCCT